GCCGCACCTTGGCAAAAAAAAAACCAGGGCCCCATTTGGCCCTGGTTGTATTTGTGCTGGTTTCTTCGAAGCTCCCTAAGCATAAAAAACCCCACGCCCTCATCATATCGAATACGAAGTGACAATAACATCCTGGTACCATATTGTAATTAAACTGCCGTGACAAAAACAACAAGACCAAAGCATTAGGATGCAAGGTCGCTCGAAAGCAACGACTGTCAGGAGTCATGAAAGCAGTACACATTTCAGCCAGGGCGCGATGTTCCCAAGCTCTGAAGAAGAGGGCTGAGTGGTTGGAAACGCTCGAGATGTACGGGCCAGGGAGAATCCGGCCCGTGTGGAACTCTTCCTCGACTTCTGCATTTTTGCAGTGGCGCTGGTGTCCGCAGCCCAGGACGGTCTAGAGCGATTCTGAGTCTCATTTGGCATTTATTCCTCCTTGTGGGATAGCTCGTCGGGACTAAGTTGACTGAGGATTTGATCAGCGTAGCTATGCAGTCTCACCAAGGCACGCTGAAAACCAAATGCCGGCCAGCGTAAACGAACCTCCGTAAGTCCAGTGTGCGGCTTAGCGGTAAGGTGCCGCTGTCGACATGGAAGATCCTCGGATCCATGACATGCCGATACAAGGCTTCCAGGGCGGCTAGTGGCCGACATTCAAGGTCGCACATTCGGCTGTAATTGGCTTCCCAACAACCACCCCTTCGGCTCGTACTGCGACTGCACATGCTACTCCTACTGCTGCTGCTAACTGTACTGCTACTGCTACTGCTACCACAACGACCACAACGACCACCACAACCGCTACTCCCACTCTTGCTGCTGCTCCTACCCCTGCTCCTACTCTCCTACTCGTACGACTCGTACTACTCTTACTACTCCTAAACTCCTACCCTTCCTACTACTGCTACTCCTCCTCCTCCGCCTGCTATTCCTACTTCTACTCCAACTCCTACTCCTACTCCTACTCGTACTCCTACTCCTACCCCTACTGCTCCTGCTACTACTACCACTACGACTACTACTACTATACTACTACTACTACTACTACTACTACTACTACTACTACTACTACTACTACTACTACTACTACTACTACTAGTACTACTGATACTGCTCTATAGTAGTACTACCACCATGTGCACTACCACTAC